CACCAAACCCGAGCGTCTGTTCACCATGGAGGTGCGGCTCAAAACCGGCGTCTGTTCTCCATGTTAAGAGCGGCTGATCACCGTCCTAGTGCCAGCGTGGGACTCTAAACAGAGCTGTGCACGATAGTCCCCCGGTGAGACAGAGGGTTGAGGCAGGCCCAACAAGCCGCCCTGGAAAAAAACATAAAGTTGCAAATACTGAAGAAAGAAATATGGATCGGAACAATCGGCACAGACCTACGCGACGAAATAAGGACTACGATTGGAAACTCGGAACATGGAACTGCAAATCGCTCGGCTTCCCGGGTTGCGATAGGTTAATCTATGACGAACTTCAACCACGCAACTTCGAAGTCGTAGCACTGCAGGAACTTTGCTGGACGGGACAAAAGGTATGGAAAAGCGGGCATCGAGCGGCTACTTTCTACCAGAGCTGTGACACCACCAACGAGGAAGGGCCGTTTCTTCAACTACAGTATCATCAACGTGCACTGCCCACACGAAGGGAGACCCGACGACGAGAAAGAAGCGTTCTATGCGCAGCTGGAGCAGGTGTACGACGGCTGTTCGCAACGGGACGTCAAAATCGTCATCGGCGACATAAACGCTCAGGTAGGACGGGAGGCAATGTATAGACCGGCAATCGGGCCAAACAGCCTGCATGCCATATCGAACGACAACGGCCAACACAAAGCCACCTGGTGATCACCTGACCAACACACAGAAAACCAAATCGATCACGTTCTAATCGACGGGAAATTCTTCTCCGACATTATCAACGTCCGCACGTACCGCAGTGCGAACATAGATTCGGACCACTACCTAGTTGCAGTATGTATGCGCTCAAAACTGTCGACGGTGCATAGAACCCGTAGAAGTCGAACGCCGCGACCCAACATAGAGCAACTACGGGACGCCGGAATTGCCCAGGACTATGCGCAGCAGCTGGAAGTTGCACTACCCACGGAAGAGCAGCTTGGCGCAGCTTCTCTTGAAGATGGCTGCAGGGATATCCGTTCCACCATAGGTAGTACTGCTGCAGCGGCCCTAGGTACTGCGATCCCGGACCGAAGAAAGGACTGGTTTGACGGCGAATGCAAACTGTTAGTAGAGGAGAAGAATGCAGCAACACCGCACGAGATTGAATGTGGAGCGATACAGACAAGCGCGGAACAGACAAAACTCGGTTTTCCGAAGGAAGAAGCGTCAGCAGGAAGACCGAGATCGAGAAGCTAAATAGTTCGCGCAAAGGCTACGTGCCGCAAGCCGATATGCGCAAGGACTTGGACGTACGAGTGTGAGGTGATTGAGAGGTGGAAGCAGTACTATGACGAGCACCTCAACGGTGAAGCAGCAGAACACGAAGATGGCACGGCAACATACCTTGGAGCACGCGCAGAAGACGACAGGCTACCGGCCCCTGTTCTTCAAGAAGTTGAGGAGGAGATCGGTCGGCTGAAGAACAACAAAGCAACTGGTGTAGATCAACTACCAAGTGAGCTATTAAAATACGGTGGTGAAGCACTGGGTAATTGCCAAGATTTGGGAGGAGGAGGTTTTACCGGAGGAGTGGATGGAAGGTATGCCCAATCTACAAAAAGGGTGACAAGTTGGATTGCTGCAACTACCGCGCGATCACACTGCTGAGCGCCGCCTACAAGGTACTCTCCCAAATTCTATGCCGCCGCCTGTCACCATTTGCAAGAGAGTTCATGGGGCAATATCAGGTTCTGCAGAAATGCCGCGAATACAGTCCCTTTGAATTTCGAAGGGGGTTACGGCAAGGTCATGAACTTTCGTGTCTGCTATTCAACATCGCGTTAGAAGGTGTGATCAGAAGAGCTAGGATAGACACGAGTGGCACGATCTTCAGGAAGTCCATCCAGCTTCTTGGCTTCGCCGATGACATCGACATCATGGCACGGAACTTTGAGACGATGACGGAAACGTACATCAGACTGAAGGCTGAAGCTAGGCGGATTGGACTTGCCATGAACGTATCAAAGGCAAAATAAATGAAAGGAAGAGGTTCTAGGGAAGACAATGTTAGCCTCCCACCCCGAGTTCAGATTGACCACCGAAAATGATACCAGCAAAGAAATTCAAAGACGCATTATGGCAGGGAATCGGGCCTACTTTGGACTCCGGGGGACGCTTCAGTCGAATAAAATTCGCCGCCGCACAAAGTTGACTGTCTACAAGACGCTGATTAGACCGGTGATCCTCTACGGCCACGAGCCCTGGACTATGCTCGTGGAGGACCAACGCGCTCTTGGTGTTTTCGAACGGAAGGTGTTGCGTACCATCTACGGTGGAGTGCAGATGGATGACGGAACGTGGAGGAGGCGAATGAACCACGAATTGCACCAGCTTCTGGGAAAACCATCCATCGTCCACATTGCAAAAATTGGGCGACTACGGTGGGCTGGGCACGTCGTAAGAATGCCGCACGACGACCCAGTCAAAATGGTTCTAGAAAGCGACCCAACAGGAACAAGAAGAAGAGGCGCGCAGCGGGCAAGGTGGATCGACCAAGTAGAAGGTGACCCGCGGACTCTTCGCAGACTACGAGGCTGGCGAAGTGTGGCGATGGATCGAGTAGAATTGATCAGACCATTATTCCGCAAGGAAAGTGAAATTGCATTCAGAATGCGCCACCTTCATGTCGATCACGATACTAATGTAATCGATCTTTCCTTTACCGATTTCTTTTGAACTGCGTACTGGGTCAAGAAATGCTAAGGAAAAGTAATTTCTTTAGCATTCCCTGTCCCATCCCGTAGCACGTAAAAACGTCATAACTTTTCAGCTGCGTACCAGGCTTATAATGGTAATTCCGAAGAACTTCCAGATTTGGGCGTAATTGCTTTTGTAAACAAACACGTCAATCGCCGATTTCTCACGAATCTCGGGATAAAATTATACCACATGCTAGATAAATTATTCCTCTACCTGTTTGTGCTGTTAATTTTCTAGGCTGAGCTTTTATTCACGAGAAATCGTCAACTGAAGCTTTTTTTTTGACGTAGGACTACGTCTGTGATTTCTATATGGGGGTACACTTTGTGAAAATCGAAAATGGAACATTTAACAAAATTATGAAAGATTTTGAACGTTAATAACTCAGCTGCCCCTGGACCAATTTCAATAATTTTATCACCAATCGATCAGAAATACCTGTTAAATTTAAGACTTCATATTTTTTTTAAATGTCACTATTGAAAATTGTACGAATGTGCAACTGTTGCTATAATAATTAAAATTATCACCGATTGCCTGCGAGCGATTTCTCTAATACAGATTTCAAAGTTGAGTTCCATCCAGTCTCACCAAACGGTGTTTATTCATTCACCGCGTGGTCAGTGATGGTGTTCTCCAGTACACAACGAAAGGCTCCCCGCAAGCAGCGAGCTGCAGCACACATGAGCATCCATAGAAGGAGGAAGAAGCCGCACCGCTATTGATAGGATTCAGTAGCTCTTCGTGAGTCGCTGTGGGCCATCTATGTCAAGCGCGTCATACTAAAGAAGATAAACAGAGAGAACTCCGCTCAAATTCCTATTCCTACACAAAACACAAGCTCCTGCTGTAGTAGTTAACAAATAAGATGTATTATATAGGACCACGTAGTACTACTACCCCATAGGACTGTCCTTTGTAGTTGTTAACAAAAGCAATTACGCCCAAATCTCAAATCACTCCGGAATTGTCATATCCCTAATAAAAACTACCATACAAGAGAGCTTAACCACGTGTTCGGGGTATCATCCAAGACATTTTTGGGATAGTTTACCCATCCGGGATACAGTTCGTTTATGGTATTTATTTATTAGGGATGTCAGAAGAGGGTGCTTTAAATTTTATGGCGTTCGAGAGTAAAAAGCAGGATATGACGATTTTGGTTGAAATGTATGGAGAAATGACACTCTTTCATCCATAGAACTGGTTCAGTATACTCGATTGAGTCAGCACGTGTAGCTTAAACTACAAATAATATCTTTGCTGCATCACAATTAACGTATTGAGATTTTCAATTTGGAAGGTTTACAAGCAAGTTTAACCGGAGCACTACACGGCAAATCTAATGCCAACATTTTAAGAACCCAGAGAAGATCACTCTCTTTCGCTCTCTTTGCATCTTTAGTAAAGTAGCTGACTGAGCCCGCCGCTCCGGTTCGATGGATTTGTGCGGCGAGCTTATGCTAAGCGCGCAGAGCTAATAGTACCTTTATGTTGCTTTTGCTTTCCTGACGACTGAGCTTCACAGAGGCCAATCTGAATCCAAACTATTTTTCACATACCGCTTGTTCACCGCGCAGCCAACAACAGAAGAGCGCAGAGCAGATGATGTTGATGATGATGTTTTTGTTTATTGTTTTGTCCGTCTGGCTTCGGCGCTCAGCCGCCGTGGCCACACAACAAGTGCTATGCTCGTTATTCCGACTGGCTGGATGTATTGGTTTGGTACCTATACTACTTGATCTGCAGCGGCAGAGAGTGCATTGTTCTCGCCGCATTTCATTATGATCGGTGGCGGCGTGTCCGTCCATAACAATCCTATCGCAAAATTATTTATTATTGTGGACCGCCACTCGCCAATTCCAGGCCAGGGAGGGCAAAGCGACGGCAATCCAAATCCATAATGAGGCATGGGAGGTAACGGTGGGGTGGGTGGTGGTGTGTGAGAGAGAGAGCTTGTGGAAATCGATTTCATTGTCAGCAGCAGCAGGGCTCCCCTTTTCGAAGGAATCGCCTGATTTTGTTTGTTCTCTATTTTCCCGTTTAGACGCATGCACTTTTCTTCGGACACCGTGCAACGCATCGTCAGCAGAAAACCCAGTCAGCAAGAATCCAACTCATCAGATTTTTTTTAGTAACAAACCAATCCGGGGATTGCGTGTAGTATTAAGCAACAAAACTGACCATCCATGCATATGCGATTATCACTATGCTTTCTTCACACAGAATATTACACCTCCCGCAGGGAAGCCATCACTTACAATCACACGGTGCCCGGTTCCGCCGGATACGGGCTGCACTTTCCGGCCTGAAAAACGCACTTTTCACTCAGAAACTGTCGCCAATTTCGGAAAAACAAGACACTATTTTCCACTCTTCTTCTTGTGAACGCGAAAACCGAGCCGACGAAGAACCCCGCTAGCAAAAAAGCACAGCAGGAAAAACAAGTTTCAAAAGTCGTCAACGTTTGCTTGCTGCTGCTGCGCTGCGAGGCGAATGACACTTGCACTGGATTCTGGTGCCATTTCACACACTCCCTCGCGTTGCAGGGCAACGGTGACGGATGTGCGTTCTCTTTCACGCTCGTTTGCCGACATGCGAGCGCCGCGGCGCAAGAGTTGGAAATCCGTCTGGGCCGCATCAGTTCTTCAAGATGCAAAGTGTTGCTGCAGGGGTGGGATACAACGAGTGTGCGAATCGGGCTGAAAATATCGACCGCGAACCGGTTCGTTGTATTTTTTGGCGAAGTCTTTGGTTATTTCAAATCAATACAAACAATCAATACGAAACTAACGATTTTAAATTGGCTCACTACTTGACTAGCCTATTGGTCCCAAGCAAATCGATTAACGTAGCCCATTCTAGTCAAAATTCTAATACTACACAATGTTTGTTTTGATTCGCTATGAAAGTTTGACAGATAAAATTAGGGGTTAGTGGATTTTCCTATGTTTCGAGGGGTGAATCGATTAGCTTGGGACCGAAGATAGTACCAGAGTTGAGCCAAAAAGTTGAGCACGTTATTTCGGGACCTTCTAGTTTTAGAGTTACCTCTATGCTAGAAGTCACGAAATAACGTGCTCAACTTTTTGGCTCAGCTTTAGTACTCTCTTCGGTCCTTAGCTAATCGATTCACCCCTCGAAACATGGGTAAATCCCGAGGGGGGCGACACATCTAAATCTCAATTATAGATGCTCAACAAATCTCACACTAGCGAATTAAACTTCGAAAAATATTCTTTCATTTCTCTCATCTACTTGCATCGCGCATCATCTATTTGCAGGAAATCTTCATAATCGACATCAATCTTCTTTCTATCTACTCACCGTGCGCGCAGCTAGCCACAGCAAAACACAATTTTTCCTGCATCGTAGATAGAGTCGCCCCCCTAGGTAAATCCGCTAACCCCCCATTTTATCTGTCAAACTTTCATAGCTTAGGGGCTGTTCATAAACTACGTAGACAGTTTAGGGGGGGGGGTTGACAAATATCCACGACCCATACAAATTTTAAAATTTTTGTATGGACAATTGTCTACGCAGGGGGAGGGGGGGAGTCATGAATCACAAAAATCTGTCTACGTAGTTTATGAACAGCCCCTTATCAAATCAAACATTGTGTAGTACTAGAATTTCGACTTGAATGGGGTACGTTAATCGTTTGCAAACTAAATGAAATAAACAGCAAATTGCATTGATCCGTTCCTATAAATTCCAAAGCAAAAACACTAATGATCTTTTCCCATAAGTGAACACGTACATTGATTAAAAATGAATCTAAAATGCAATTTGTCCATTTGCATTCTATTTATCAATGTTCTTTGATTATGTTCCAAGTGATTGCATCACTTATTTCCAGGAAAATTGACGAATCTCTCGTTTGTTTACATCTACCTATGACACCAGAGCACAGACGTTGAGGATCAAGGGATAATGAACTCTGCACACTGTGCCGAAACACATCACGGCACACTGATCGGCACATTAGGGCACACTTTGTATGTCACAGAAAATAGCATCACTGTTTTATTGTTGACGTTCCTCCAATAGTTGCTTAGGTTTCGCACTTTGATGACAGTCGTTGATCTTTGCTTCAGGTTGAAATTAATAAATCCATTGGAAAGACGATCAGATGCCCGATTAGAAGCCAAACATATAGGGCTTTGCTTGGATATATACTGCAACCAGTATTTCGTCCAATTACCTGCAAGAACTGTTTAAAGTGGGCTATAAATACCAGCGCCAAAATCATCACCACCAAGATGAATCACTAGGTCACTCTCCCCAAAAAACAATTTGAGTTGATTAAAAACTGAACAAGCTAGTTTTCAGCTGAAGAAGTTTATTTATGCCTGAATAAGGTCTTATTCAGCTTTCAATGTTCGTTATGTCTTTTTCAATCAACACGATTGCAACAGTTGCTTGGCTTTTTCCGATAGCGACAATATCGGTAATCACGGTTCACATGGGTCAATTTTACAGGCACTAAGCCGCGGCCAGATACATAGCGTCATGCAAATCAGGCACCTTCCTCCCCGGATGAGCGATATGCGGAGCTACTGGTTGCTCACCCTGTTTGAATAATCAGGATGCGATCAATAAATATTATGACACACACACAAACAAACAATCACGGCGATGTTCACACTTATCTTTACACAAGTTTCTGACGGAAGTTTTACGTCTGTTCTCTATGATGCATCATTGATAACATCGTGCAACAAAATGAGAATTTCGATTGAAAATGAACCTGAACAATCGATTTAGTATACCAGGCTTGATGCCAAGACAAGAGGTTTCTTCTAGGATTCCTTACATGTTTCAATGGGTGTTTAAAATTTAATCTGTGCGTGTCTTGAGAAAATTGCATTTTAATGCTGAAATTCATGTATTTCTTCGCTCCTTTCTACAACCATCATCAATTTTTAGCAGCGACATCTGGCCGCAGTTTTTGTTGCAATTCATCAATTGGAGACGATAGGATCAAGGGCGGGATGTGCTGTCAAATCTTCTTATACGCTAAGATGCACATACCTTAAAGTCGGTAAAATCAACCTAGATACAGTCACACTCCCAGCTTGATGGAGTCACACTCCCGAGTTTGAAATGAGCCGAGCGTAGCATTTTTCTGAGGAGTAGAATGCCTACTGTTAAACCATTCCACTGAGCTTCAGAGCTTATGAGCGAAGGGGAAAAAGAATGAGAGTGAGGTTTGCTGCCATGCATGTTCATGTTTTCTATCACATGCTCTTACTCTCACTCTGGGTGAACTCTGAGCTTCCTGCGTTGAACAAAACAGTCATCGTGAGTCTCGAAAAGCGCACCTCACGTCAAATCATCCTCTCGCATCCTTCTTCCATATTCCTGCCGTTACTCACTCGAGGTGAGGGCTGGCTAAACTCGCAGGACTAGAGTGTTTAAAAACCTCCAGTGAGTTTGAGGAGTTTCAGCAAGTCTGCCTAGATATCGGTAAAAATAAACGATAATCGAACACTAATAAAACTCCACACATTTTTATCCCGACATGAATGCCACGATGATGGTAAAGTGTTGTTAATAAATAATAATAATAATAATAATAATAATAATAATAATAATAATAATAGTAATAATAACACATTTTTATTGACGAATTTCCATGTGAAATTCCACATGATTTTCATGTGACCACACATAAACAGAATCCACCCAGAAGCACACATGAAATTTATGAGTCAAATGAATAGTGTGTGTGGCTTTTATGTGTACACATATTAAGTATGTGTCCGACACATAAATATCATTTGTTGATCACATTGCAAAAATTCATCTGTGGGACACATAAAAACAATCTTTGAAATTTTATCAGTGCAGAAAGTGCACATACCTTAATTATCGGTAATCATGGATTACCCATAATTAACGTTAAAAATGTCCCAGTTATAGTAAAAAATAGCCCTAATAATCAAATACCATAAAAGAACGATAACCCAAGTAGTCGAATTTTTCCGAGGGGGGCGACACATCTAAATCTCAAGTTAAGATGCTCAACAAATCTCACACTAGCGAATCAATCTTCGAAAAATCTTCTTTCATTTGTTTCATCTACTTGCATCGAGCATCATCTTTTTGCAGGAAATCTTCAGAATCGTCATCAATCTTCTTTCTATCTACTCAGCGTGCGCGCAGAGCCTATTTAAAGTAAAAAGTAACAATTTTATCTGTAAAAAATACCGATAAATTTTTACCGATAATTTTAGGTAATCGTAGCTTAGTGTGTATTGAACATCCATCTATGAGATGTCCATATGTAAGGCCTAGCGAATTTTTCATCTCATTCGTTCTCTCACTGTCTATACGGTTGAAAGAGTGTGACGTCAAATTCCGTTATCCATTTAATGAGCCAGAGAACGCAAGAGGTGACAAATTTACTGGGCCTCACCTGTTTATGCTCATTGATTTTCCATGTGTAAATTTGGTTCCAAACATCAACAAAAACCCTCGTTGCATATGGCTTGTTGTCGTTTGGAACCTGTTATGCGAGCTAGGCGACGATTGTTCATATTTGACAGTTATCTCCCCACTTGGTTGAGTTTGCCTAGGGTCTCTTGAGACTGATTTGATAGAGATTTGATTCCACTTGCTTGGGGGAGGCAGCAGGTGATTGAACTGTCAGTGAAAAGACATTAATTGATCGTATAATCACGGTTAACTACAGTGACTCGGTGAATTTAAACGCCTTGATCGCGTTTTCCATTCATTCAAAAGATCAGCAATAACCGATTCAATAACTGGTCACCCTATCCATTTTATTGCAGCCCTGCTGTATTTTCGATACTTTTGACAGCTCTGGTTGTTTTGGTATTCTCGTTTCATCCTCAGTCTTGGGAAAAATGTGTTTTGATTGAATAATCACCGGTTTCCAGTGCGGAAATTGTTCCTACAGAAGTTTAATAATCGACATATAAAGTGAAATTATCGTAATAAAGTGCTAACACACCCAAACATGAACCAAGCCGAAGTGGCCAAGCTGATGTCACAGCTGAAGGTTGCGGTCCGGCCCCGTCATCGCAACTTGAAAAACATCGACGGACCGGAAGGGCGGCTCGACAAGCTTCGCAAAACCGTGACGGCGCTGATCAAACACGAACGGATCGAGCTGAACTACCAGCGAGCGGATGAAGCGCGGGGCTACGCCGAGCGGCTGATCTCCGATGCCATCCGGTACGGGGATTGCCACAAGCCGACGATGGAAATGGCCGACTATTGGCTGACGGAGAAGCAGCTGGTGCACAAGCTATTCAAGGTGCTGGCGCCCAGGTTCGAAGAGTACAAGGTGTCCGCCACGCGGATGTACAAGGCACCGAAAGAATATCCCGGCTGGTATCGGAAGCGGGCGGTACTGGAGCTGCGGGGGAATCCGTATCCTTCGCTGGTGCAGAATTTGTACCAGAATCGGAATTTACTGCACAATGTTTTGCTGGACGAGGCGCGGAAGGATTTCCGCAAGGAAAAGTACGCGGAAATTGCGGCGCAGATTGGCGAGCAAGCGAAGGACACCGCGGAGAGTGAATCGAAGAAATGAGTGAAGTAGATGTAGAGTTTTAAAATAAATAGCGTTATACTTTGAAGCGGTTAAATTTTCATGTTTTACTCCTATTGCCCTTTTTTTCTTCTTATTAATATTCTCGAAAGCGGTTTGCACGTGACCCCACTGTATATTGACTGAGCCTGCTTTCCGGCGGACTTGCTTTTAATTTATGCCAAGGCTTCTAATTGTTTTCTTGGGAGATGTGATTTTTTTTAAAGAAAGAAAAACAATATTCCGACTGCAGCAATGGTGAAGTGGAAACAGAAGGATAGGTCGGTTGGATAGGTCAGTCGTTGTGTTCAGTTAGTGAGAAAGCTATATAGCTATAAGTGTTAATAATGAACAATGGGAGTAAAGTAGCGATTATGCAATTTAGTTGGAACAATGGCCACAGAAGGCAACAGAGAGGCATCGTTGTTTGCAGATGGAGTTTAAGCTGATATTCCTTTTTTCCCCATTCCTAGCTGCCTGATATTTGATTCGAAGAATACTGACCACAAATGGTTACCCTTTGCAGTCAGTATTCTTACTACCAAAAACCAGGTAGCTAGGAATTGGGAAAAAGGAATACCGGCAAAAACTCCATCCGCAACCAACGGTACCTCACTGATGTAATTGTAGTTTAATTGCACCTATATTGTTGTAATGCTACGGATGGGACGAAAGAAAAAAAAAGTATGAAATAAGTGTAGTATATACTACATCCCGGACATTGCCGGAAGAACACTTTGACTGAGTGAAATGTTGCGGAAAGGTCACGACAATAAGGATTTACGTTTCAAAGTTCATGTTGGTTAGTGGTGACGATTGAGGTTTGAAGGAGGTAGTTTGATTATGCAGTTTCAGTTTCATTGGAATGGTAAATCAGAATAATCTTTCAAATCTACTCGATGTTTTTGTTATTGTAGAGCGTTCTCAAATTTCAAAGCTAGGAATGTGCCTGTTCAAATTTAAAATATCCAAAAATATTATCGCGTTCTGGAAAATGAATAATAGCCTACAACATTCAAGTACTCTAACGCAATGTAAAATTTCATCACTTTTGGTGAATTGCATTTATTTTGAACTAGCCCGATTTCAAAGATTGTACGAAGATAATTCATTTATAAGAATATCAACATAAGTAAGGCCATCCTTCGATCAGTGCAAAAAGTTCTATGGTCTTAATCTAAAACTATAGCTCTGATTAAGATTGCATCCCCTAAACGTTGACGATGATAAAACCACAGACAAACAGACATAACACGTGAATGTTTTTCATCGAACACGCATTTAACGGTAAATTTAATATTAATCATGCGCTTAGTTAACGATTTACATAGCTGGAAATGCTTCACGTCAAATATCGGGCTTATGTTTCGGATACACTTGGATAACAAATTTTGAGCATGAGCATTATTTGTATAATAATTAGGAGCATTATACAACAACTATACAAAAACTGTACAAGTGTGACCATGGATGTGCTTATACAAATACAAAATGGTTCACAGTTTATCATACAAGTGTATCCGCGGCATTGTGGTCATTTTATACAATAGATGAGGAGATGAAAGTAACATTTCTGCTGCGAGCTAAGCGAAAAATTCGTTTAGTGTACCAAAGAGAAAGTCAATAAAGATAATTGATCAACGAGGATAGGCCCTTTTCAAATGTTACTAGAGGTTTTATCTATTTTGGGTTGATCTATATCATTAAATGAAATAAAATTAAAATTTTTAGCTAAAGAGCCTGAATTTATAAAGAGATGACATCTTATACATTTGACAGGTCTGCTGCTCGATTGGAATAACTTTTCCTATGACTTTGACCGATAGATAATTCATTGTTCCAATTTTGACAAGTCGTCTCTTTATAAATTCCAAGTCCCCGGCAAGATGACAGATAACCTTAGTTTCACGTACCCACTTGCACATAGTAGATGTCGCTACATAACGTAAACAAAGGGATTGTCCTTCACAGCCGCAACGGCGTTTCGCTATGAGAAACAAAAATTTTGTTTCACCATGAGTGGATGTCAAACCACAGGCAAGAATGCCATATTAAAAGAGCGAATTTATGATTTTCGTGGTGAAATTAAATAAATCCATACATATTGAACCGATTGATTGAGTTTCATCTTATATCATCGAATGGAAATTAAAATACTTTGGTTTCTTCAGTTTTATTTTGCTCTTGATCAGCCTTTAGATTAATGCTTTGAACATAGTTGTGCGCTGAAGGTATACTTTCCCGTGTTTCTCTTACGGGGTAAGTAAAGTAAACGGTTTGTGTTACCGCGAGGCAATTAATTTCAAACCAAAACCAAAAGATACTCACAGTTGCATCCCGTTTGCATAGCCCTAGCTGACGTTGATACCAAGGCCAAGAATATGAAATGAAAAGTAGGGCAAAAGGAGCGAGAGCTCGTTTTACATAATCTAACTGCAGTATTTACTTAGGAACGTTTCTGCGTTCAAGTAGGATAAACACGCCCACGCATGGCATGCTTGCGCATCTAGGTTACGTTTAGCTTTCCCTCTCTGTTTATCCTTAACGAAGGATATAATTATAATGTTTAAACGTTACAAATGTCTCATTCTTATTTGTAGAGCCATATCAGATCTGAGTTACAAAAAGAAATAAACTTACAAGATAACCCGAGAAATCCCAGATCTGAGAGGGCATAGTATATAAGATCCAAATAACACAAATTTACCCTTTCAAGGGCGATCGAAATCCTAGCTAATAGAATAGGCAAAATTAGGTCAAAAGTCCGGTATTGAAAGGGATATGTAAAACCCTGGACGAACCAAGTAAAAGTTTTACATAATTATAAGTTGCTAATGCAACACGTAGCTGTAAGATCACTTTGTACAATTTTGTTGAATAAAATTAAGTTTCGTAGGTTACTCCAGATTCTTCTCTTTTTTGAATCCGAAAGAACTTTCGGCCTAGAAGTGAAAACTTCTCTCCTTAACCGGGGAAAAAAGTAGCTCCTAGAATCGAGAAACAGTGTCTGACCTGGAAGCGAAAGACTCTCCCTAACCGGAGAAGAAAGTAGCTTTTAGCGGCGACAGTTTGAGAGGCTGAAATTGGCATTCGACAGCATACAAAGTACACCGCTGAACTAACGTTGTACTTTTTTAAGCTAGAAAGAGCATTATAAGCAGCTTCTATCGGAACTTGAACTTTTAGAAAATAAATTAAGAAAGGTTTTTGTTCGCTACTACATTATAGTTAGTTCGCACTTTTATGAAAGTTAATTCTAAAGTCTGGTCTTTATGAAAGTTTTTTTTCTAAAGGCAGGTATGAAGTGTATTGATTTATCAGCATTAGTAGTAAAATTGGAGCTGTTTTGAAGAATAAAACCCAGTCCTTCTGCGTGAGAGCCCCAGCATGAACTGCTTCGTCATCTGAGATATATTAAAGTGAGCTGTTGTCCTGCCTTGTTGGAGTTTTCAGTGCCAGCTGACTGACTTGAATACGAAACACAACACCTTGATGAATTGGTGTTTGCCCGCAGGGTATTTCAACACACTTGTGGCGCACTTGTTAGCGTTCGTAGATCGCATGCCAAACACACGGGTTGGAATCTAGGAAATTGATCTTTATTTTGTTTGGATGGAATCTTGATGCACTGCATAAATATAAGAATTATGATTCATTTGACCCACTGATCATTTCATATTTACGTACATTAATGTATGTTCCTGAAAAATATATGTGTGGATTGCTTCGTGTGGGCTATGACGGACCTTTTAAGAAACTTTCAAGTTGTTAAGAAGTTCCGCAAGGATCTTTTAAGATACTTAAAAGTTGCTAAGAAGTTCCGCTGGGAACTTGATCGGAACTTTGTTGTGGCCTTGTTTCAGCTTTACCTGAAGTTCCTAAAAAGTGCTTAGGGATGTTTTTTGGAACTTTTTTTGAACTTCAAGAACCTGAAGTTCCTATAGCTGCTAAAGTAGCAAGAAAGTTGTGTTGGAACTTTATATGCACTTTATGGAACATTAAAGCGGGTTTTGTCGTTGAATGTGGATCTTTTGGTTGCTTGGAGTACTATCGAAACTTTATTTGAAATTCATGGAACATGAAAGTTCTATCTGAACTTTAATTGAACTTTATGGAACTTGAAAGTTCTGTCAGAACTTTACCCGAACTTTATTAAACTTGAAAATGAGTTTTATCGTTGAATGCGGAACTTTTGATTACTTGGGTAGTCGAAATCACCGAAAGTATTCTCGCTTAATTCTCATTTGTTCCGATTAATTCGATGTTAACCACATATTTTCGATTTACAAATCATATGTTTAAGCTTTTGGTTCTGTTCTGCTCAAAGACATACGAGACTACATAAAAAATATAAACTGATTATGAATTGTGCATACGACTGAAAATCAAAATGACTGCGCATGCGACTGAAAATCACTAGACTTCCTATGTCGCTAATGTTAATTTTGACGTTGGACTTCACGTAAACTTTCATTTCATTTATTATATATCATTTCCGCACTCGCCCTATTCAGATAACTCTTCAGAAAACTTGTGAGTTTGACAGAACCACCAGAACCAAATTATTGGGGTACACTTGAAATATACTGGAGTTGTCAAGTTGCCCCCGGGTTGATAAATTCAGGCTCTTTAATTTTAGCTGGTTCAAATTGTAGAGTCTTGACACTTGCATTGATTATCAGTGTATGATTCTTGGTATGATTGCAGAAACCATCTATACGCCTTTTTAATAGAAACTAAGCGATCGATTCAACCTCTGGTGATGAATAGGAAAACGTCAAAAAGAGTGTTTGAGCAGAAATTTCTACCGTGAGACAGGAAACGGAACACTTTTTCACTTTTCCTGATAAATTGATTAACCAGAGATGCTCCAAAACTTGATCTACAGTTGAAAAATTTAATTCTGTATCGGTTTTGCAAGGATCCTGCTGGTGTTCAAGAATATTGTTGTTGAGAAAAAATGGAAATTAGAATAGTGCGTTAGTGGTTATGATCTTCCGGATTTCTTGTGTGTACATAGTTTGAGCCACAAACGAAGTGGCAGACG